GGTGATATCTAAAACCTGCAGGACACTGGCACTCGAGGCCTGGAGTTGCCTACCCCTGATTTAGATATATATATGCCCCACACTGAATGGATTGGCGTGTTTCTACCCTTTGTCAAGAGGAATGGGTATCCACCAAATCCCAGTTGTGATAGGGACTGCATTTGCCATGAACGAGGAATTCCTAATAAGCATGGGACAAAAACTTGTGCTGCACGGTGGTAACACTAATTGTCTTCAGAGCAGTACATCAGGAGTTTAAATCCCAACCACTAAGGCCCCCAGGCTACATATACCAAAGCTATCCAAAGCCTACTTCAGTATATGAGAAAGAAGTATATAAATGAAGCAATGCCCGCTCGGACTTTGCCTATATTAACAAGATCCACATCAGGTGTTGAGGGGCACGGCATGTTAATGAGTGGCTACTGGAACCAGGTTATGGTTCCAGTGGACAAGCTATGAGAAAAGGGTATTATCAGAATGCTACTACACCAGTTACCCCTATGAAAGAGATTACATGAGGATTTGGGACCTATGAATTATTTAACGCCACAATTTACACTTACACTCAAACATATAGTTGCTCACTGTTCCAACATCTGTAAGAGTCCATAAGAAGCAACTGCTATTACTTTCTATGAGGTCTTCTACTAGAATATCTGAATACTGCATTACAGACAATCCCCCTCTGGCAGCACCATGTGGAAGGTCCTGTCCATTTGGCTAGGATAAACAAGCACATGGCTCAAAAATGAGCAGTGCCCAGAAAGGAATTGGCTGAAACACCAGAGGGGCAAAACACCATCTGCAGATAGCACATTCACTTCCTTTCAACCTGTGCACTGCCTGGATTGACCAAGAAAGCCTATGAATTAATGTGTCACAAATTGGTGGCCACAACTGCCCGTGTGCTGAATGAATAACTCAGGCAGCAGAAACCCAAGAATGAAGAGGAGCAAGAAAGTGAACCATCGTGAAAGGACGGGCCCCTGCATGGCATGTAGCAACAGCAGAAGTGGCTGAGAAATCTTCCCAACAGCTGGACCTAACGACAGCACAGAGACACTGATCACAGCAAGAACAAGCTTTAAGCACAAGATCGATAGAGACTGGGGTCTACCACAACAGGGAAGACCCTACGCTAGCAGGCAGGGCATACATGAAATGCCACAACCTAGTCGCTGACAGTTATATTTGTGCCACAAAACCAACCAATCACAGACTTGGATGCAAAAAATTCTGATTGGCTGTTTTGGTCTCCAGTCAGCTCACTGGCCACTGTAGCTAAACCCAGGCAAATATCCCAGAATGCATTTTGTCCAAAGCTCAAACGAGGCAGTTGTGGAGGAACGCAGAGTGGCGGAGTTTGAAATATTACTCTTTCTGGGTCACAACATAAACTGTGTTCATTTCTTCACTCAAAATAAATGTCTGCTCAAAGTGCAACACTTATACAATTTTTTTTTTTTTAAATTTTTATATACGCTCTGAATAGTGGCACAGAAATAACGCCATACTCCACAGATGCTCGACCTATTATAAAGCCATGATTTTGGTTTACTGCGAGTGATTTCTTTTTCTTTTTTTTGTTAGTATCCAAGACATGTCACACACAAAGCAGAGTCACAAAGAAAACCCGTGTTTGTGTCTGGACTCACTGCAGTTGATCTCATCGCTCTTATCTCCACAGTCGTTCCAGCCATCACATTGAGAAATCTTGCTGATGCACAGGGTGTTGTT